TGGACCAACTGGGGTCTGGTCTTATTATGCCTTTCTTCTAGTAGGATTGAGACTATCCACAGGCTACGACTGACTCCTCTTTAGAAACATCTTCCAAAGGCTAGTTACACATATTTGAAAGTTGTTAAAACATTACACTTGGGCTGCTTGCTGTTTTTCCCCATCAACAGTCCTAACAAAGACTTTTGCACTATTTACCAAAAGCAAAGGATTCCTCCAAGGACCAGAGTTAATGGCAATTATTTCTGATCTCACAAGACATGGAACACACTTCAGTTCTCTATGCAACATAATGCTCCACATTTCTAGTTTCCATTGCTACGCACTATTTCAATTATTCAGGACTTAAAGTGCTGAAAGACTAATTTGGACTTTCTCCTGTAAAAAGTATCACCTGAACTATTGCAATTTTTTAATAGATTTTTCCAAGCAAATGGCACACAGGCTTTTTTCTCTTTTTTTTTTTTTTTTAATATTTAAAATAAACAGTTGTACTGCCAAAGGCATGTAGGGTTTCTTAAGAGAAAATATTTCTAGCAAAACAAAGTTAAAACATCTTGGAGAAGGTAGTGGTAAGAAAGAAAGCAGTTTACCTGCATCAGTGTGATCTTAAACTAAAAAGACTCAGTAATCAGTAAAGTGTTGTAGTGCTTGTCAAAAACAGGTTCCATATTGTCTGTAGGTTCATTGTCTGCAAGTTTCCTCCTTGTACAATTGCTTACTATCCTCTTTGCTTAAAGAGTATGTTGTGCAATAACCTTCCTGTTACCAGAAACATATGGAACTGTTTCTTGATGTAAAACAAGTTGCAGTTCAGAACTATTTGAAATTTTACAATAGAGAAGTTATCAAAAACTTAGCCTTCAGTCCAGAGTTACTGGTCAAGTTAGTAAGTATTTCTACTACTAGTTAAAATGAGTGCATCTATGATGCATTTACTTCATTCATGCTTTAATGGTTTCATTGAAAGATAGCAATTTTAATTAATGGGATGTTCACTGCAGGGCTCTGTGATATCTAGACTAAACCTTGCTGTTGCAAGAGCCAGGGCTCAGAGCTTTCCTCACTAGATCACTATCTATCTTGCTATCACTACATATAGCAAGGCAGACCCAAAGAAAGTGTGTAACAACCCTGGATGCAAATGCAAAAGCCATTTCAAAGTGGACTATTTGTACTATCAACATAAGGAGTAGCCTAATCTGATACTATTCTGAGACATGAGGAATAAAACTCAGCAGGTCTGCCTACTTCTGTGACAGCAGCTGGCTCCAGACTTCCCCCAGGAAATCGGAAGAGGACTCTAAACATCAACAATTCTGACTTCCTTTTCACAACAGAAATATTACAAAATGTTCCAGTAAATTCACATACTGAAATATTCTTATATTTCTAAAATTAGAATTAAACAGGGATCTTCCTAAGATAACTTAAAATTTGCAAACAGGTTGCATTTGTAAGCAGCGCGGCTTTCTCCAGCCTTTTAAAGACCTCTTTTCCCCTTCTCCTTTCCCTGACTAGTATACAGTAAGTCACAGTGCAAGCAAATTGTCCCACTGCTGGTAGGAGTTAATTCAGCACTTGCAAACAGTTAAACTGCATGGAAAGGTGGTTATGTGCAAAGATCTACAAGAAAACCTATACTTCAGGAGACCAACCGGAGCATTTTATGAGGGCTCATATTTTTAGATGTAGTCTGGCCCTTAATCTATGAAGGTAATTTCTAAAATGCACAGAAAGGGAAAATTCATAAAATGCTGAGAAATGTAGTAGCAGCATGTGGGTGAAACAAGTTCCTCAACTGGTTTCCAACACCACTTTTCAGAATCCCACCCTGAACTGAAACCCCGGGCAAAACCTGACCTGGCAAAAGCAGGGCTAGAGTGCCCTCCGCTGGCACAGTCCGGGCAGAGGACAAAGTGCTGCTCACTTGGAGAGTCTGAGGGGGAAGGGAACTGGAAGGAGAGGGAGGGCAGCCTTAGTATTTCAGGAAATGCTGAAAAATCCCAGTGTCTGAATCTGTTGTGTTTCTCGATTCTTCATTGCTCTTGTATGACAGGGAATCACACAAGAGGAGGAGCAACTCTTGAAAACCTATTCACTGTTCTCATTTTAGGTAAGCATGGGCAGAATGGCTTTTCTGTCTCCTTCAGCATCTCTTCTATGTGAAATCCATTTGGATCTCAGCTGCTCAAAAAGCCCCTAGGAGAAGAAATGATAAAAATAAGCTTTCTTCTATTACCAAAACCATGTTTAAAAAGAAGATAGCGAGTGGTAATGTCCTTATAAATGGTCTACTGAAAGCAAATAAATAGAATGACTTACTTGCTCGTGTTCACAGAGGTCACAGTCCAAATCACAGACTACAAGAAAATCTAGAAAACATTTCCAAATAATAAACAAGATCTCTTCTCTGGTCCACATGTTCAGCAGTGTTATGAAATTGTCTTCTGATCCATGTCAACCTACATGTACTCCAGCTGTACTTAGAAACGTGTGTATGATGTATATGACCCAAATAGCATTGGGTCAAGTGCATGAAGCCACGAAATGAGGAGAGAATTAACTAGTCACGAGGCCTATCATGCAGTCCCTCCAGTCACTGCTTCTGTTTGGCACACAAATAAAACATGCATTTGTGACTCATTTTATTGCATAATATTCTACCACTAATTATCATCCAAAGTTTCCTCTTCAAAGCTGATCCAGTGTGAGACTTCATCTCTTTCGTCTCCTCCCACCCTTTTACAGTGCCCTGAAAGCCACTCCTCACATTTATCAAGAAGCATACTGCTTTTTCTGCTGCTCAAACTGATAATCATTGTAAAAATCCAGAGAACCTGAACCCAAGGAATATTTAATATAAATGCAAAATTCTGTGATCTTTGAATATGGCAAAGTAGGAACTTCCTAGTTATGCTCTCCCCATAAAGATCAGATTGGCTTTTCCTTGTTCAGATTTGAGATGGAACTCGCAGTTATTTCCTTTAATGGAATTTATGAGAAAGGAGGCTCCTTCTCCAAACCAAACCACTGCTCTAATGCAATTTCTCATCCTGTAACTTTTTCAGCTTAATATACTTCTATATTTATACTCCATGGCATTTAACGAGTTCTATGTGTGAAGTAGAATTAAATATATAGAGCATGAACACGACATTTAAGCCTGTTTCCCCGACATGTCAGGAAAAGTAAGTGTCCTCTCAGAACAAACATTCAGCCTGGAGCAGAGGGAAGGAGCTAATGGCTAAGCCTAAGCAGGGTTATCTGGGAGCTTTTCTGTTCAATCTAGCAGTCATTGAACATGTAAAAAGTGAGGTCCTGGTTCTTCAAAGCATAGACCACAGCTAAACACATCGTGCCTGTCTTCTTGTAACATGGACTAGCAACAGCATCTCAATAGCATTATTTTACACATTTTTAGTACTGCAGGTCAGTCAAAGACATGCTTCACAGCGTTATCATTGACCAGATCGGGAACAGACCACTTGCTGATGCTCTGCAGATATCCAGACTGTGCATTAGGAAGCATTTCTTACCGAGAGGGTGATCAAACACTGGAACAGGCTTGCTAGAGACGTGGTTGATGGCCCAAGTTTACCAGTGTTTAAGAGGTATTTGGACAATGCCCTTGATAACAGTCCAGAAACCTCAGAACTGCAGGGGACTACCAAGGATACCACTAATAGATAGGGACCAGGGATGAAAATTGCATATAGATATTGAGAGGGAGAAAACCAAAACCAAACAAAACCAAAACCAACCAAACAACAACAACAAAAAACAAACATAAAAAACCACCACCAAACAAAAAAAGGTGTCAAGGAACAGAATAGATTTAGGGTTGAATATGGAAAATAATTAGCAAAAGGGTTGCAGATGACCATGATGACACTGGGAGGTGAAGTCATTTAAAATATCACTGGATAGTAAAGATGAAGGAAAAATCCTTTTGCATTTTCTCATATCCATCATAGAAGGAAAATACTAGGGATAATGCTCTTATTCAACAAAGAAATTTCACAGCAAATCTTGTGATACTCAAAAGTTCAAAATACTCTTTCTAGCAGCACGCAGAAAGCGATTACATGGGTCAAGCCAAAGTACCTCACTATTGCAGGCTTATAATCAAACATGGCAACAGGCAGAAAGCACTGGGCACCTCGATGAACCACTTCTATCAGAAACCGAGGAAAACTGCTGCAGGTAGCAGTGAGGGGGTGAAGCTGTCTTCCCATGGTGCTGCAGGTGCCCAGTTTCTGCTCTCAGCCTTGAGATCGGTTCTGGGAGGCCAGACTAAACCATCCAGCCGCACACCTTTAATGCTGCCCATCTCGGTGACAGCAGCTCGCGCACCGAGCAGCTGAGCAGAACGCCAGCTGCCCCGGTGCAAGACCTCAGTTCAAGGGGCTGTTTCGCTGGGCTCGGCGAGGCAGCTTTCCATGAGAACCATTAGCAGGCGCAAGAAAGTAGAGCATTTCCCGGTCTGCTTTGCGGCGGGGCGTTCATGTACCCTACCGACCCAATACCCGCTGGTCACCCACGGGCCTCGGAGGGCCAGGAGCACAAGGCACTAGCAAGTGATGTTTACGGCAGCAGGGTCAAACCCAGCAGCGCCGAGCCGCCCTCAAACGGGAAGGAGGAAAAGGGGTAAGAAGTCGGCCGCAACGCCACAGTGGCCACCGACCGCAAGATAAAGCACAGCCGTGCGACGGTACCAACCCCAGCACCACCTAACCGACGTCGCCCCTCCCACCGGCTGGGGTCACACCTCTTCCAATCAGGAAGAATCTTACATCGAAGTCGAATGACTTCGCTCCCCTAGACAGAGCCGGGGAGCCACTCAGCACTGGCTGTACAGCCGCCAATCACGGCTCGCCTTGCAAGCAGCCAATGGGAGGGGTGGTGTCGGTTGTTGTTGCCCTGTGAGGCGGCTGCGCTGTGCTGTTGGGTGCCGGCCGCTGCCGCAGGAGCCATCCGCGAGGCCTTAGGACCCCGTGCCCGCTCGCCTCTTGCTGTCCCCCACCGGCCCCGCAGCCCCCGCGGAGGGCGGGGAGATGCAGCCCCCGGGCCCCCAGCAGCCGCCGCTCTATGCGCCCAGCAACGGGGATTTCACCTTTGTCTCCTCAGCAGACGCCGAAGGTGAGCGCGGGGCTGCGGCCGCGGCCGCTCGTTTTCCCGACGGAAGGGCTCGGCTGGGCTCGGGGGAGCGGCAGCTCCCGTGTCACTGGGGCAGGAGATGCCTGCCTTGCCCCCTCCCCCGCTGCCGGGCTTGGTGGCGTGGCTGGAGGCGGAGCGGGGTGGCTGAGGTGGCGGCGGTGGCCACTGCCCTCGGGCCATGGCTCTCGGTTCCTCAGGTTTTCCGAGAGCCGTAATCGAAATTGTGCCCGGGGACCTTACACAGCCGTGACAAGCGCTGTCACAGGCCGCTCCTCTTCCCCCCGTTGCTGAAGGCGCCGGTTTTTGTTTGTTGAAGATAGTACTGTATGTACACGTTCGCTATAGTGCTGTGCCAAAGACTGCACGCCGTGTCTCGTGTCAGCACAGGAATAGGGGTGTAGGGGGAAGAAGCCTTGCCCATAGTTTAGGGATGAAGCGTGGCCTGCTGCCTCACTGCTGCACAAATAGCTGTGGTGTTCCAGCATGCCATGAAGGTCTGCCTCAAGACTGTGAAAATGAACATCTAAGAGTCAACATTGTGCTAACTTAATTTGATGGGGGATGATCCTTTTAGGCTCTACCCATTTAAACAGCAAGCATTCTACTTTCTGTGTGTATTTAGTAACTGTTGAAATTGTGGATGGGGTAGGGAATCATGTATATCCTGACTCACGTGCCCCACCCTGGAAAAGAATTACTGAAGTGGAAAAACTGGCATAGAACACCCCTTTGGTGAACTTCCAAGGCCCTCTTACAAGGGATGCTAATCAACAGGTACAATCTCGGCTCTGGGGTTTTGTTTTTTGTTTTTCTTTGCCTTGGCCTGAAAAGGATCCATCTGAATGAAAACTCTCTGGGTTCCCCTGGAAGGATTTATTGAGCAATGCTGAACCCGACCCAATACAACCACCTTTCCTGTAGGATATATCGAGTTGAACTTGGCTTTGTGTTCTTTATGAACACAAGGAATGTGTGATCTCCTGCTTGTTCTGCAAAGTGCTGCATAGACCTACCCTAACAAAGAAAAACAGAAGTTAAGCAGCTTGGTATTTCTAAATTAAAATACTATATGTTGTGCTCTAATTTACCAAACATTTACCAAATCTTGAGATATAAATATATATGAATGTGTATATATATATATATAAAAGTATAAGCTGTTTTATTTTCTTGTCTTTATTTCTGTATGGTAGGAGCTGTTTGTGGGGAAAGAATGCTGGAGAGGTGTTCTTGATTAAGTGGGCAGATATGGTACGAAGAACAGATTGTCTGATGTGGGGTTTTTTGTCTCTTGTACTGCTTTTTCAAAACCGAGAGCAAAGCATGTCTTGAAAGCTGGTTTTCCACAATGCCTGGTTGAAAAATGAGGCATGTGAGGTACCCCAGTTTTGCTTTTGTGTTGTTCTGCTTAAGACAGTAGCAGTGAAACACCCTAACTCCTGTGAGTGAGCAGCAGAACCATCAATTCTTGGCACATTCTTTAGCACTTGGTTGGTCTGTTGTTAACCACCTCATGCAGAGCAGTGTATGCTATAAAGAGGAGGTGCTGGACTTTTTCCCCCCCCTTGATTTCTCCAGGTATATGTCCCACCTGAGATTTCTTGCAAAATAGACTTAAAATCGTGTTAATAGGTTTCATGATTAAAAAGCGTGGCTGTAGGCATTCACCGGTCATCAGCTGCTAAAAGGAGTCCTGTTAAATAAGACTTGTGTAGAGGTTTTCCTGCCTCAGGATGGATTGTCAGTGATCACTGAGAAAGGAGAAGTAAGTGGCTGGCTGGGCTGTTACATTGGGTTGTTTTGGCAGTCACATTTGTGCACAGAGTAGCAACAGCCTCACCTTGTAGACAGGTAATACGTTGTAGCATAAACAAGTATTTTTAAATGGCAAAAGGGTTCCATGACAATACAAAACTCCTGATGCTCTCTCTACCTTGAGGCCCAGGCATCAAGAATACATTTGTCTTTTTTCCTCCCTGTGTAAACATCACATCAGAAGGCGGCTTTGCTTGGGTTTGGTGAGAACAGAGCATGTGTGCTGATACTGACAGGAGCAAAGAAAAATTCCTCCTCTTAAGTTACAGTGATCTTTACAAAGATCCCGCACAGATGGTGTGCCTGGAATCAAAGCGGTGGCTTATTAACGCTCATGATTATGAAATGGCTGAAAAGCATTTATGGAGAAGCTTAAATTTAAGCTTGAGTGGCTTAGCAAGTTGGTTGGGAAGGAGAATTCTGCTAAGTTGTTTGTGATACTGAGTAATCAGTGAACACTTGTGACATGCTGGCTGAAGACTGTGAGGTTCTGTCTTTCTACACATTTTTCTTCTATAAAACTAAGTTGTATTTTGATATAAGATGTTGCAAGTGTAATTTACAAATATGGCCTGACGTGCCTCTGTGAGTGTGTGTTTCAGAAATACTTGCTGTTTGTGGGAATTGGTGCTGTTTGTGTCAATAAGCGGCTGTTTGGGGGAATTGGTGCCCAAGAGCTTCTTTGTGTGAAGAACAGACATAACAATACAAAGACAAAATAAGATTTTCTTTGGTGAAGTAAAAAGGTGTTGGATGAGAAGAGAGTTTTTTGTCTTTCAATATACTTGTAATAACATTTGTACAAAAAAAGTACATGTTTGTGTTAGGATTTTTACTTTTTAGCAAATGGAAATCCATCATTTCCTAAAGGAATAATTCTTCTTCTCTTCTATATTTTATCTCTTTTCCAGTTGCTTAGTATATTTTCAGTTATTATTTTGTATTTTTCATCTCTGTATAACTGAACATAGTGAGTTAATAAAATCAGCATTTATTGGTGACTTCAGCACAGCCAGAACATGCATAAATCACCCTTTTTGTTTTGTTTGGTACTGTTGCAGAGCAAGATCACAGTATATTGAAGAGAACTCATATCTCATCTTATTAGCTGAAGCCTCAGGAGCTCTGATAGTATTCTTTTTCTGACATTTTCAGCTGTATTATAGGGCAGGCTAAAAATGAAAACATCTACCTATGTTTTTCCTTTATGAAAAATTGAACATAAAAGCAGAGAATGGTTTCAGCTCAAACAATGCCACTGTGCAGAATCAGGCTCCAAAAGAGTTGTAATATGATTAGCAAAGAAACAAGTTAAATAATCCCCAACTTAGTGTGATGGGACTTGCATTAGTTAACTCCTTTTATGCCTTTAAATACTTAATGATAAAACACAAATCACAGCCTTTCTGTCATACCGTAACACTGTGTCATCAAGACAAGAGTTCCATCTGGAAACTGAAACATGGTAATTTGATTCCTAGATCAACATTGTTACAATTGTCTTAAAACCAGAAGGACCTTTTTGAATTATGTATCTTAATAGAATTTTATTCTATAATGTGGAATATTTCATGGTGATGATGACCAGCACATTTAACTTTATATGTCTGTTGTTTGTCTCCCAGTACTTTTGAAATTAAATGGCTTTTGACAAGACAAAAAATGGTGTATCTTTTTCTCCCTTTTTGCTCTCAGATCTTAGTGGCTCCATAACAACTCCAGATGTTAAGCTAAATCTTGGAGGAGAATTCATCAAAGAATCTTCTGCAACTACATTCCTAAGACAGAGGGGGTATGGCTGGCTTCTGGAAGTGGAAGATGATGACCCAGAAGATAACAAGCCACTCCTGTATGTCATAATTATTTTTTTATATCTCTTTTTATTAGCTGTGTAGGAAAAACAACCAACTTGTGGCCTCTCAAATTGTCCCAAAGCCTTCTGCTGTCACGAGATTTCTTTTTGACAAATTGCTTGGTGTGCAGGAATGAAAACATTGTTTCTCATTATAAGCTATACTTCTAGTGTAAAAGAGAGGCTTGTTAATCCCTGCTGGGGAGGAAGGAAGAAGTAAAATCCAGTTTTACTCATCCCTATAAAGCTTATGGATTTTTCTGCTCTTATCTGTTGATCTTGTAATGATTAAAAAAAACAGAATTGTTGTGAATTTATTACTGTCAAAGAATCACAGGCTAAGACAATCTGGTGGAAGGATTCATGTTAAGTAAATACATTGTCAGTTACTCTGAAGTAAAATCATTGTGAATTGTACTTATTAAAGAAGGGATGTTAGAAGGAAGGTAGCACAAACTTTATTATCTTTGATGCTGTCTTATAATATGAAACTAGATTAAAAGGGTGGCAGTGGTGAAGGACAACTTAAAACCGAAAATCACTGTATCCCTTGTTCCATGCACAGAAATGGGGTTGGCTGGAGGAACTTTGTATCTTAAGGTTACTACACCATGAGCTAGGCAGCCTGAGTCTCAGTCCTTGTTCTGCATCGAAGCAACTTCATTCTCAGTCTGTGTTTTCCTGTGTGAATTAAAGATAATGGTGTTTAAAAAAAATGGAGTGAGCAGGAGGGTACTCTGGAGAACTCAAATGAGAGCGTTGGAGAGAACAGATGTATGGAGAGCTTAGTAATGAAACTGCTACTTGAGAAATCCTTTAAACTGTGCAGAAGTAACTCCTTGTATGAATGTCTGTTCTGTAAAGCTCTAACTTTTAATTATGAAACAGAATGGAGCACTGAGGTTTCAACATATGCATTTTTTTCTTTTGCATAACTTTTTATACCACAAAAACCAAGTTTGTGATTCAAAGACAGCTATGGTGTCAGGAGGCTGGGGCCAGACGAGAGGTAATGGGCATAAAGCAGAAGCCAGGAAGTTCCACCTGAATGTAAGGAAGAACTTACTTACTGTGAGGGTGACTGAGCAATGCAACAGATTGCCCAGAGAGGCTGTGGAGTCTCCTTCCCTGGAGATGTCCAAGAGCCATCTGGACACAATCCTGAGTAATGTGCTCTGGGTGACCCTGCTTGAGCATAAGGTTGGACTAGATAACCTCCGCTGGTCCCTTCCATCCTCAAGGTGTTCTAACCTGCTGGTTGCTGGAAGTGAGGAGTACATGCCAGGGACATGATCAGTTTATGACACAGGGTGAATATATTCATCCCAATAGAGAAGACCTCAATCTGACTGTTATGTAGCAGCTCTTATGCAGTTCTGATTATTCTCATAACATGTGCTGTAATGAAGCCCTGTAACCTTAATCCTGCTATGACTTAAAGACTGGCGCCAGTTAAGGGAAGTTAACCCATTTGGTGGTACCATGCAAGTATTTTGTTCAATAGAGGAAGATTATTTTATTTTTTTTTTTCTTATTGGGCAGTCATACCCCAGAGACTTGTTTCCTCTTAGAGCATTCATCACTTCTTGGGTGAGGTAGCTGTCTGCTTCATGCAAAGATAGTCTATTCACATGAGAAGTTGTCAGAATTTGCCCTAGGCAATGACAAAGAATTATTTGCAGACAGGAAATATCTGCACAGTCTTCGGAGTAAAACATAGGGATGCTACACCCTGTTTAGGTAAATGGAGGCAAATAGATGCTTCTGGTCTACTCCTTAGATTCAGGGATGTGTTAACAATTTTTGTTATTTAGTCACAGGTTAATAATACAAATTCTGAAATAGCTTCAGTAATAGCAACCCTGATATTGCCTTGAGAGACTCAATGAGCAGTATTTCATTACTTTTTTTTGAGAGAAATTATGGTGAATCATGTCTTTGTGTTTATTCCTTGCTTCAGCCTTTCTGAGGAAAAAGCCATAAATCAAACCCATGTATAAAACTTTCATAAACTGACTTAGGATATGATTCTGCATTTTTCCCTACTGTGCTCTTGAGTATAGAGCAGAGGCATGTCTGTCAGAAGCCTCTTGCAACTCTTCACTGCTCCTCGGTTGTAACTGCATAAGGAAAACCCTAGTGTACAGGTCTGTCTTTAGGTTCCATGAATAAGCTTAACGAAGTGGAATTGCCCATTACTTGACAAGTCTTATTCCTTCCTGTTCTGCTAGGACAGTTGGGGCAAGATGTACCAGTTAAGAATCTCCTGTCCAAAAGAGTCTTCTGGTCAGTTAGTGGCTGCTTACAGATAGTTTGCAGCAGGGAGTGAAGAAGGCAGAAAAGAACAAGATCTGTTGATAGAATTTACTGATAGCTTAATACGCTTTCACTTATTTTTACCCATACTAGAAACAAGCAGTAATTAAACAACTGGCATAAACCGGTCGGCTGAAAACGACTGTTGTTGAAGGAAGTTAAACCCCATTTCATTTAAAAGAATTGTTTTACCTTGTGCTTTGAATGGTTTAGGACTAGTGAATGTAAAGGTGTTCTTTCTTGTAGAATTTGAAAGAAAATGTTTCCATAACAAATGTACTCATGGCAAACTGCTCAGCATTGGAGGACACAAACATCCTACTTTTGTGTATGCATATCTGACTTCTAAGTAGTTACAATGGTATGAATGTGGCACATGTTCCTGCATGTCAGAAAATAGATCTACTGCCTTATTCTAGACTGTTAGGGTATGTTGTGTGTGTTTTCTATTCTCAATCATGTAACTGAGTACTGAGCAGTTAAATGTATCTGTGTCACACCAATTCCTGCCAGCTCCTGAATATGGGGTGAAGGTTTGTTGTGGGCAAACTTGTTCTGTTGCTAGCCATGGCTTCAGAAGCCTTAGTGGTGACAGGAGACTTGCTCCATAAACCTGCCATTTGCCCCTGCAATTACTTTTTTTTTCTGCTCTGTTTCATTGCTGTGCTGTATAGTAACACTCTCTTACTTTACAATTTCAGGGAAGAACTTGACATCGATCTGAAGGATATTTACTACAAAATTCGATGTGTGTTGATGCCTATGCCATCTCTTGGGTTTAACAGGCAGGTAGTGAGAGACAATCCAGACTTTTGGGGTCCTCTGGCAGTAGTCCTGTTCTTCTCAATGATTTCATTATATGGACAATTTAAGGTAGGTATAAGTCTTCTACCCAAAAGTAAATCTAAACTAAATTTAGGGATATGACTGCTAAGCAGTTTGCATTCTTATGTAGGTAGAAGTCTTTTTTTTTTTGTCTTTTTTTTTTCTTTCCACGTACTAACACAGAGCATTTCAAATGCTGATTCTCAAGTTAGTACGTAGAAAGGCAGCAGTCAGAAATGTATTAAATGGCCCACGGGTAAGTTAATTGTGATGAAATGTCAGGCTCATTTTTATACAGTAGAACAAAGGAAAGATGTGGTTTTTAGAGGGAACAGATTGATGCAAATGGGTTTATAGTCATATTAGTGAATCTTTCAATTTTAATTGTGACCTTTTGTTAATATGCTTTTTATTACTAAAAAATATTACTGAAGAACATGTGTTTGGATGTAATGAATTTTAATTTCCTGACAAGTAAAGCTACTACTTTAATTCATATTCTGTCACTGCTGTTATCTGGAAATTTAATCTTCATTAGTGCCATTTGCTATTTTGTCCTCTCTGCTCAATTACAGTCAGATAACTTTCCTCTGGTCAATAGCCTTTTTCCATAATTCCTTTTGAAATCCAGGGTGAATAGCTATTCAGCAGCATTGTGCAGATTTCATTGGCCTCCATAAACACTGTTAGGTTTTTTTCTTCATATTCAGATTGAAAGAGAGAAGTGGTATCATATCTAGTTGGAATTTTAATATGAGCCTAGGTGATCCTGCTTCAGAAATCTTTATGACTATATATGTAGTTACAGTTGGTTTAAATATAATGTAGTATAGCAATAAGCCATATGTAAAGTAGCAGAATGTGCTTATGCAAGGATTTTTGTGAATGGTGAGATAAAATCTTTCCTTTTGCAACCTCTGGCTTCCATATGGTGTAGCAAATGCTGACTAAGACGTCATTCTCGGTATCTTGTTTCTGCGAGGCTCGAAGAGTAGGCTAAACCACTGTATTATTCAGTCTTCTGGGCGGAACACTTAGCTGTCTCCTAGGCAAAGCAAGGACCATTCCTTGATCCCATGACAGATAAACTATCTTTTGCAGTTTGTGTACCTACTGTACGTAACAGTAGGTTTAATGTTTCTTAGGAACGGTGGATTTACTATACTGGTGTAAGAGTGCTATAAGTGTGTGAGGAGGGAAAGCTAGTAGCTAGCAACAGCATGGCTGACAGCAGCTAGGTTAGCTGAGCTGGATGGTGGGCTGTAAGCTGGGGAGAGTGGAGCATTCCTGCTCTAAGACTAATCTGGTCCTCTTAGACTGTGAAGGAAAGTGGAAAGTAAAAGAGGCCATGTTCTGTTTTCACAAATAGCATACAGTTGTGTTTTTCGGTTTTGATCATGTTTAAGTGGTGCTGTGATTTTTATTTGTGGGTTTTTTCTTGTAGGTTGGTTTGGTTTTGGTTGTTGGTTTTGTTGGTTTTTTTTTTGGTTGGTTAGGTTTTGGTTTGATTTTGGTTTTGTTGTTGGGTTTTTTTTTTCCTTCCCTGTTTGATTCTTCAGCGAATCTGGAACTTTTAATTAAGCAATAAATTGAATTGAATACTGACTTAAATATGAAGTCACTTATAAGTCCATTGTACATTTGGAAATAGAGACTGGACTGATATTGTCATTTGCTTCTAAAAAGGTATTTCAGAACAGACAGCTTCACTTCTAGTCCTCCCAGTGGCTCATGTCCAAGAATAGCTGAGTTACTTTGAAGGCTCTGTTAAGCTAGAGAACAATTTTAATTTTATTTGTTATCTTTCTTCAGTTTAAGACCAGAGCGATGAAAGAAGCAAAAAAAATAATTACAGACTTTGTCCCAGGAGTCTGGGGCTGTAATAAGTTGTAATCATCAAGTTCTGCTGAGAGCCAGATGTCTGATGACTTCTGTGCATTCTCAGTTTGAGTAAAGAATAAAGTGGTGTCTTCATGGATGAAAAAAAAGCAGAAGTCCAATGCCTTGTATTGGTTGGGCTGATTTAAAACTGCCTGAGCCCACATTTTGTAATAGGTGCAGTGTGAAGGCATTTAGCTAGGGTGGTCTTAGCTTTAGTTTTAACTAAACTCTTCCTAAATCTGCTACAGTATTACAGTACTTACAAAGCACATCTCATGTACATTCCATCTTCACCAAACCTACCATTGATGTGATTCTGTAAATATAACCTCTGAATTTTATTCTCAAGTTCTGTTGTAATAGTAAGTGAAACTATTCAGAGTCCGGTTTTGCATAATAAAATCCTTGACTGCAGTAAAAGTGTTTAATAGAAATGAGTTTCTTTTCTCACAATGAGAATTATTAATATAAATTAATTGTTTTTTATCTCCTAAGGTGGTTTCTTGGATTATAACTATTTGGATATTTGGATCCTTGACAATTTTTTTACTGGCCAGGGTTCTTGGAGGAGAGGTAAGTACCTGTATGCAAAAGGACATAAGAGGGAGGTAATGTAAAGTCTTTGCTACGCTTTTCAGTCAAAATTGGGTTTTCTTGGTGCTTGATTTTGGACCTTGTAGCCAGCTAAGAACGGATGCAGTTGGTAAGCATAACGTCTAGGTTGAAAATACAGAGGGTCAGCTAATCTTCCTGTGCAGTGGATTATGGCTTGCTGGGTGTGACAAACAATCTGGGAATTTGTACTGTGAATCCCAGAAATGTGAACACATGTCTGTGAGCCAGGACTGAAGCCCATTCTTGAGGGACAAGTGCTCTCAATTTTTCAGTCACTTAACTGAACTGGACTCTTTCTCCTCCTTTGCACTGCTTTTGCACTGCCCTTTCTTTAAACTTTTTAGTTTTTGTTTTATTTTAAATGGAGCTAGCAGCAGTTGTATAAGGTCCTTGCGGGGAGATCACCTACCAGTGTTTGTTTTCATCCTTGGCCTGATGCAGTTCAAACCCACTAAAGAATGAAATGTTCTTCAGCTGCAAAGCCAACTGAAGTTCTGGCCTTCATCCCTCCCTCCAGCTGCTTGCACCAGCAGGGTTGGAATAGCTGCTTGAGCTGTTTACGGATTGAGTCACTAAGTGATTCTTGTTGTAAACAACAAGAAGTGACTTGCAGCAAGGCCCTCAGACTGCTATGGTTTAACAGTCAGGAGGCTAGAAACTTCTTAAAATGGCTCTGCAGCTTAAAATGCCTTGAACTGTGTTGTGAAGTACTAAACATTCAGCGGTACTTGATTTTGATACTTCTACTGCGCATATTGCATTCATGATGAACTAGTGTTGCAAACTTCCTACATCATTTACATTTGCTTTCATCTTTAAATTTTCCTTTTAATCGTAATTACTAGAGTCTTCTTGTGTGAACACTGTTTTGAGAGAAAAAGCTTTTATAAATGCGATTGTTTGGTTTTCTGCATAACAGCATAATCCAGACGCCCTGAAATCATTGTGGTTTGTGGCTCAAAATGAAATTATCAGAATGTATAAGCTGGGGAGAAAGTATAGGTCTGTACTGGGAAGGATCGACACCCACAAGAGATCACTTGCAAGATGGTCTCTTGTCTCACTGCTATTCTTTGTGTTAAATCCAAGAAGCCTAGCTGGGCCCAGGAAGTTTTCAAACCATAGCAGGGTAAAACCAGACATTATAATCCCTATGAAGCTAAAACCAGTTAATGAAAATACTTTGAAGAAATCTGTTTAAGATAGTTGTAATGATTTTAAACTGGCAATCAGAACATTTCTGTGCCTTAAAGGGATCAAGTTCTAGGTCTTCCACTGATGCCAGAAGCCTTCATTTACTTTATGTATTTATTTATATATAATGGATATGAGTATATTAATGAAAATACTTAAGTCTCTCCTGCTTGTGACAGGCAGGACCAAGCTGAGAGGTCTGTTCTAGGGGTGTGCCCCTGGGTATCATACGTACAGTCCATGGAGAGTGGCAGTTGAGAACCACTTTAAGGCAGAACACGAAAATGTGAGGGGGTGGGTGGAATGATGTAGTTTAACTGGTGTAAATACTTCCTTTGGAAATAACAAAATTGTCAATTACAGTGGGTTTTGGCTTCAAAAAAAAAACAAACAACCTCCACCAAAACAACATATATCTAAGAGATCTGAATGATTGATTACAAATTATAGAGGGTCACATACAAAACCAGTTTTCATACTAGCAAGCTTCCTTTCGCTAAAATTTCATGAATACGTAACACATTATTATTGCTATTCATACTGTTATAACAAAATCAGATTGGGCCTGGTGACAAAAATTGAGTTTATTTTTAATACAAAGTTTATTTTATGTGCTTGAAAATTTCAGGTTGCTTATGGCCAAGTTCTTGGTGTGATAGGATACTCCCTACTTCCCCTCATTGTCATAGCACCTGTACTTTTGGTGGTTGGATCATTTGAAGTTGTTTCTACCCTAATAAAAGTAAGTTCAGTATCATTTATAGAGAATTGTCTATGGCTATTTTTAATGCACTTTCCTAATGCTTCAAGTCTTAACCTATTCAGGACAACAGAATGATGTGTCAGAATATTCAGAACTACAGCACGAGTGAGCTCTGTGATCTTCTTGGCTAGTGTGCTGGACATGACTGCTAAGCAAATTCTGCTTTAAACGTGTGAATACTTGGGCATATACAATGCTGTTGCTATAACAACACCTGTTGTTATCAGCTAGCTGCTGTTTAAGGATTTTGCTGTGCTCTACTAGTTGCATTAAAAATAAATAGGATTATCATTTTGAGAAGAGGATGCATAATTAAACCTCAGAATGAAGAGTCTGAAAATAAGCTGTTCTGTCCCTCCCCCCATCATCCACTTTATTTTTAGGTACTGCAGCATGAGTCTGACGTTAGTCATTGTTCCGAGACCTTCCCATAGTGATAGCAGTACAAAGCTCTTGATAACCTTTGCAGAGAAAGTTGGTATTGTTCTGATTCTGTGTGGAATATACGGTACAAAGCAAGAATAACTTGCTTGATGCCACGTGCTTTTTGGCATCTTTTGTGAAACTAGCATCGTTCCCTGACAGATCCTGGCACTGCTTAATGTTCCTGAACACTTCCAGTGCTTCTTAAAACCCTTTTAGGTAGCCTTTGAAATTATTGCTGAACTTTTGGAAAGGTTGACTGACAAAATTGTTACTAGCTAAGCTGTATGCTTTTTGAGTTCTTGCTCTACTGATGTGATTGATTTCTGTTCTTTTAGCTTGGTGGTAAACAGTATAATTGAAGTACAGCTGAAGTGTATGATAAATAACAATTGCTGTGTTTGTGACTTGATAACTTGCAATTACTATTAAGTGATAAGAGTCAGAAAGCAAATCATTAATCTGCCAGTTAACTAGCAGAAATATATTTTAATTAAACCTCTCTTACTTGATTCCTACTAGCAGTTTGTTAACTGCAGGGCACATCTTTTTGCATCATTAGATCATTAGTGTGAAAATGGAGGACAAGGCCCATACGGCCAAAACTACTTGCGCTGTGACAAGCAGTACTTGTTATGGCAGGAGAGCTCAGTGCTTGGGGAAATGCTTCACAGTCCTAAAGTTGGGGAGGTTACAGTGAAATAGCGAAGTGCCAGTCAGCTGTCTTCCAGTTGCAATCCACAAAGTAAACTATTTGAGTCATGTGCCTCGATTATTTTAATTGCTGCAATTTTTCCTAATATATCTTTAGGAATTCAGTCATGATATTGATTAGTCTTCTTATTTTGCTCTGTAGGCCTGGGTTAGGCAGCAGAAATGGAAGTATGTGATCACATGCAATTTTGGGGTTTTGTTTTTATGATAGCGGTTGAACAGGCCACATAATCCCTCAAGGGGCTTCAGCTTCTCTGACAGAACTGTGAAAGAAGTTCTTTACTGGGGTCCTGTTGTGCATGCCCTCTTTGGTCCTGTGTTTTGCAGAAGACTGCTGTGTTTTTTCATGCCACTCAATTTTAAGTACTTTTTTATTAATATTTGAGGTGTTGCTAAAGGATAATGTCCAATTAGTTTTTGCTATAACCTTGTGAGTTTCAGCTTTGAGTCAAATTCACTGACCTCAAGATTTATTTATTTATTTTATTTTTTGGCTAACTTCATATAACATACTGGATATTCATAGTTAATGTTACTTTCTACCAGCGTTTTAAACTGGTTCTTTCTTAAATTCATAAGCAATATATTTTGTCATACAACTATATGTTCTTTTCATATATGAAACATAAATATGCTTTCATACAACTTGTATTTTGACAGGCTTCTTACTGCACTTGAAAAGGAGTCTGAGGTTCAGTTACCTTGAGGTGGAGGCAAAACAATTAAATGAAAGCTTACAAGCCAGACAAATCGTAAAATAAACTATGGCGATTTAACCCTCTGGTATATACTGTAGAGGAAGTCAGGTATAGTAACTCTTTAAGAGCATAAGGAGTGAATAGCTGGGGACAATCAAGGTAGAAAGGAAAGTTATTAATCCAGTGAAGTTTCAAACTAGGTGTATATAATCCTATGGCTTGCTTTGTGGTATTGGTATGCCTTGTGTTAGGGAAAACTTATTGTAGATCCTAAGCTGCTCACTTCAGTAAAAATGTCTCAAATGAAAGTAACATACCTACTTGCGAAATATTTCTCTAAACTTACATGAAAATGCGCAGTTATTTTCTTTGTGTATTTGGAGTTCTTCCCCTCCTCACCTCCTCCCCCAGTCAGTTTTTTTTTGGGGGGGGGGAGTGTCTTTTTTTATTTTTAACTATGTTGAGAGAAGAACTGATTTTTATCTTGGTATTTGGTGTCAGCTAAGACTGTTCATCTTCTTTTTCAGTTGTTTGGAGTCTTTTGGGCTGCATACAGTGCTGCATCATTACTAGTTGGAGAAGAATTCAAGACCAAGAAACCCCTTCTAATTTATCCAATCTTTTTATTATACATTTATTTTCTGTCCTTGTACACTGGGGTGTGATCTAGTACAAGATGTGTCCAGGAACGGTATTTTATTCCCTTGCAGACTGATAATGCGTAAGATTAAGGAGGCTGGAGATAATACAAGTGACTGTTTTGTATCCAGTTGTCAAGATGTTTTAAGATCGAAGAGCATATTTGTGTATATTATTTAATGAAGCAATTGTAGCTATATAGATTTGTATCAAAGTTCTAGGTTTGTTTAAGACTCTTCAGATTTTAATGAGCAAAATAAAAGAACCTTGTGTTTTATAAAGAACTGTAGCAAAACCATAACTCGATACCTGTGCCAAAAGCACTAGGACCAGATTACTATATTTGAGGGGGGGAAAAAAGAGAAGTTAGAAGTAACGATCTCAAAGTGCAATTTTTCTTTTCAGCTTAAACACAGCTGGCTTTTTTGGCACAGCAAGTTCTGTAGATAATATATATTTATGAAACTGTTCTGATTGTTCACGGAATAGTCTGTATAATCAAGACATGAAGATACTACTTTTAATTTAGTGCCTCAATTACTTTGATTTGGCTATTGAGTTTTTATAAATTCCAATTTGTTTTCAGAACATGTATATACTGTGTATTTTGTATCTATGGCTTGTGTGTAGCGTAAGTACTCCTTGGTTAAGGATGTATATTGTTTTTTTTAAAAATTGAAGATACAAGTATTTGAAGTACTCATTTACTATCTCTGACCAAAGGAGCAAGATATTTACTGTGCGACGTAATGAATTGGAATGCATCTTTAGAGAATCAAATTATTTTACTCAAAAGTGTAAATTTATAGAGAAATAGGTGAACACCTTTCCCAACTGTAGAGATGGCTTAATGTTGCAGGAAAAAAAAAGAGATGATCTTTCAAATTTGTGTGATCTTAAAACAATGTTATTTTATGATGACAAAATAAAAGTAATGCTTCCCTAACTATGTTTTACAACATCTTGCTCTGTCTTGCTTTTAATAGCATGGTATTTAACACGCATCCATGGTTTGGTTTTTTTGGCTGTGTGTTTGGTTTTTTTTCTTTCCCCAGTACTATTAATCCCTTGTAAAGAGAAATAAAAAAGATTTGTAAGGGCAGATTCTCCCTCCAATAAACAAGGCAGAATGACAGCCTTGGTAACAGTTACAGTCTTGCTAATTTTGACTATCCAAGGATTATGTAATAACGTGGTGACATGTTAAATATTTCCTGTGTACTGTGTTGATTGCTTATGTAATGGTCCTTATGGTAATGTTTCTTCACAAGGGAAGTCCACTGAAGTTCGCTTTGCATGGTACTAACTTAGGTATTTGCAATCTTCAGTATTTAGTATTGCCAAATAGATTTTAAGTTTCTTAGTATTTGATTTTGGTAACAGGAAAAAAAAAATCATTCCCCATCCTGTTTTTTTTTGTGTGCTTCAAATAAAAATCAGCCGTGAGAAGGTAATAGCAAAGGCTATCTGATCCCTAATGGACATGTTTCCTTACCAGAACTGTAGTTTTTCAGACTTTTAGACTGTGTAACTTGCCATTTTAGTAACTTATTTTTACTACTCATTACTGATGCAGAATATATATTTAAATTCCAGCTCTGCCACAGACCTTTAGCTTATGCAGTCTGCTTTTCTGGCTGATGCTTGTGTTGGTTTCAAACAGAACTAATTAAAAGTTGGTGCTGGCCACAAATTGTAACATAATACTCTAGCTTGTAATACATTAAAGAGGAAAAACTGGAAGAGAGGTGGTCTTTTCACCTCATTTTTGATTTCTGCAGAAGTCCTGGTGGAATTACTGCAGATCCGTACTAAATCAATTATAGCACCAGTTTAGTTCTTACCTGCAAGTGTTTTGTGAGCATCCAGAACATATTCTTAAAAAAACAACAACAACAAAGAAGTGTATTACCTCTGGAATCTTGCATGATAATTTGGTCTTATCTCTGTTTCCATGACTTACATTTCTTTTTTTAACAGGAATATCCAACTAGTATTAGAAGACCCAGTATCAACCCAGACCCTGTCTGTGAATACTGGTTTACTAAACATCCCCACAAACACGAAGGGCAAGGACACTGTCAGAGAGCTTTAGCTTAGTTCCTCTTTGCATAGCTGTTCTATTTAATGTCCATAATAGGTCCTGTGCATCTGAAATTACTATGAATATTCAAAGGATGCAAGAATGTTCTATTTAATCTCCAAGTATCTTATTTTCCTCTATAGTGATGTTCTGTGAAATTTATAGTTGCAAGTTTAACTGTTCCTTTCCACAGACTTGGCACATGTGTAATATGCAATGTAGATATGCACTTAACATAGTACAGATTTTGTACACAATTGCAGATTTGCACCTTTTAATCTTAGTCTCTAGGGTCACCTTTTGTGTATGCTGTGCAAGAAGTATGTACAAACAGCTCTCAAATGGTTCAAATAGTTTGTAATAACTTTGCATTCAACAAGCTCATATTTTTAGATGAGGTATGTGTGTAAATACAAGATGTATTTTATAAAAATTTTGAATTAAACTTGTTTACAGAATGTATGAAGCTCATTTATATTTACTGAATTGACATCTCTATTCCTATTAATGTCATCAGTCTCAAGCTTTGAGGTGATAAATAAATATTTGTGATAATAGATGCAGTATTCCTATTGTCACTGAAATCTGGGAAATAAGACTCAGAATGACTGGTTAGAAAGCCAACATTATTATGGCACCCCCGGTGCATGGGGGCTCGCTCTGCTCATCGTGCACACCAAGAAGAGACAGTTTACAGCACATGTATTTTCATTATATACATATTCATTATAATTCCACAAAATGTCCACCCAGTTCTTGACACATACAGTAATTGGGCAGATAAGGGTGTGGCGCAGGTGCTGTGAATTCTCTGTGGGTCATGGTGGTTGGTTGGGAAGAAAGAAATACCCTTACTTATTTTACATTGGAATGTGTTTAGTCTTTCCAATTACGTGTTTTTGTTTGGTCTAATTTACAATCCTGAGAGGCTCCTCCAGTTTTCTTTTGCAGCTGTTTACCTATTTCGGAGGCCTTGCCAACAGGAGGAAGCCGACGTTCTTGAGAGAAGATATCTCATTCTTTTGTTGCATGCTTTTCTTATCTTGAGAATTGTAGCTTCTATACACAGTAAGACTCTAGTTTAAGAATTCTTGTAGCCCACCCACGTCCAAGTCTCTACATTCAGTAAAATACTAATTTGGTATCAATTTCTCTCAAAACTGGAAACATAGAGTGCATCCACCTAACACAGAGTTCCTGTTCCAAGATGCAACATCTCATTTCAAGGAAGAGACACGGGTATCATACCTTCAAGAGATGTGCTCTTTCGACCATCTTCTGGGTAAAGCAGCGAAACATGTACATGTGAACTTGCTTTCTTTCCTCTTCTATCCATTAGATATACTCCATCATTTGTCAGAAAATTATGCCTACGTGAAAACTATGTCAAATCAATTGCTTTGGAGACAACACAGAGCTTGAGGTCTGCTTTAAATTTTGTCACTACCCTTACGGGTCTTTAATGTTTCATCTGAAGTCGTGAAGCAAGCTTGAAAGCTGCTTATTCTGCACTCAGGACAATTTTGATGAGGCTGGTGGCATACCCATGTGGAATCTTTTATTTTCCCCTTAGACACTGTATTTCTTAAATCATTTACCTGCTACAGCAGCCTGTGCTAACATGGGTCCTTCTAATAAAAATACTCTCCTGTGTGAAACCATGTTGTAGTTGACACGTCAATATATTTAAGACCATCAAAAAACTTAATCAGAAGTTTTTAAGACATCAAACCCCATCAATATATATAAGATCTTTAGTAGAGCAGGTCACTTAGATAAAATAATGCCAATAGGTAGGTTTGGTATTTGGGGGTGGGGAGAAAGCCTCAGCGAAATACAGAAGGTATTTATGTCATTTTTTTTTTTAAGCTTGCTGAATCCTGCTTTCATAACAAAATGCTTCCATAGGTACAATGACTCCATCCCTGCTTTTCGGGGTGGGAGAGCGGGTGGGAAATGCTCCTGGAACGCATGCACGAGTGTGCACCAAACTCATCCCAAAAGGAAGCGGTAGCAGCACTGCGCTTGCATTTCTTCGCTCTGTACCAGAGCTGGAAGCAGCCCGGCCAGGGGCTCTCGCACCGCTCTCCGAGCGCAGATAGAAAACCAGCCGCAGAGCCAGCCTGCGAAAACCCTCATTCCCTTTTCTCCGACCCGGGAGGCGCCAACCGCGCTCGCCCGCTTACGACCGAGTTTCTGACACGGCACCGGCGGGGCAGGGAGGAACCCGAGCCCCAGTGACCGCAATGAACCCCTGGAGGAGACGGGGCCGCTCCCAGCGCCCTGGGGCAGAAACACGGCCCCCTCAGCCCCGCCGAGGGGGGCGCTACGGCAGCGCGCGCAGGGAGGAAGCAGAGCCCCCGCCTCTCCCCTTGCCCCCGCCCCTCTCCGTGGCGAGCAGCCGCTCGCTCCCCCGTCTCCCCTCCCGCCGTGTGAGGCAGGCGGTTGGTTCCGCATCCGGCGCGGTTGTGTCACTTCCTGCTCACGCTGGCGCTCTCCCTTTCCCCCTCTACCCGGACCCGGATGGTGACTGGCGGCGGCGGCTCCAGGGACTGTCAGTGAGCGGCTCCCCCCGGGCCTCTTGTCCTGAGGGCGGCGGCGGCAGCGGCCCGGAAGATGGCTGCGGCGGCCTCCTGCTCCTCGGCGGTGGCGGCGCCGGCTGGGGCCGGGCCCGGGCCGGTGTCGGCCGGGCCGGGCTCCTGCGAGTGGCTGCTGCTGCGGGACGGCTGCCTGCGCTGCGACGCCGACGGTCTCTGCAGCTTGTGCTACCACCCGGCGCTCAACGCCATCCTGGCCGTGACCGCCCGCGGCGCCATCAAAGTCATCGACGGCACCTCGGGGGCCACGCTACAGGCGTCGGCGCTGAACGGTGAGCGCAGGGCCCGGGCGGCCTGCCCGGCCCTCTGCTGCGAACCGGTGGCGGGGGGAGCCGGCCGCGCCACCCCCGGGGCGGCTGGAGGGCACGATCGCGGCGCGGCGGAGCTGTGGGGGAGGTGGCTGGGGCTCGCCTGGACGCAGGTGTCGAGGCTGGCGAGGGGCTTCCGCCCGGGGAGGCCGAGCTCAGCTCGGGCCCGTAGTGTCGGCAGTGCCCCGGCTCTTCTTCACCCCCTGTCGCTTTTGAAGCCTGAGCGATTCCGACTCTTCGGGGCAGAGGTACTCGTGTAGGCAGCACCGAGGCCTTTTTCTTCTGCAAAATGTATTATCCTGAAAGGTGAAATGGGGATGGAAGTCTAATGTTGAGGGCTGTGTTTTGTATTTTATCTTTTCAGGTGTTCTTATGGTTGACGTAACATTGAACCTTCTAATGATTAGAAACAGCATGTTATGCAGGATAGGCATAGTTCTAGTTCTTATTGATGTATGATACTCTATGAATTTATTGAGCCTTAATCTGGGCTTGCTAAAAAGGCGTATTTCTTTTAAAGTATTCTTTTAACACTTAAATAATACTTAATAGTGTTAATACAAAATTGAAAGTGTTACTTGTCTTATAGTTGAGGATTCTTTTAAATCAGAATTCTTAATAAAGTTATTTGACGGTATGGTTTTATATATATTTGCATAGTTTTTCAGGCAGCTGAGTGTCTTGACTGTGTCTGGTGCTAGTAACAGTATGTCTGCTACTATGTTAAGGAGTTATGATTACCCACTGACTTTGTGAGAGGCAAGACTACAGCATCTCCATAATGTGAAGCAACTTTCTTTGTTGCCCGTTACTGTTCTTACACTGCTAACAAACTAGCTGTGTGGAAAAAGATCCATGTGCCATGAGTACCTCTTGGTCCTCGCTCATTAACAGTTCTTAAATTGCAGTACTTGTCAGAATATCGTGGGGGTGAGGGCGTAGGGTTATTTTTGGTGCGTTGCGAGACCAGCCTTTGGCATAGAAAGATACGCTTTTACTAGTCGTGTGTTTACATGTTCATGTTGTCCTTACAGTTGTGTGTTGTTATGATCAAGCTGTGCTGAGTGGTGGTAGTGAAAGGTTCGTGTTTGCCACCTGAACATAGTGTAGTAATATCAAGAATTACACGGTGATGGCATAGTGTAGGTAGTACGTATACTTTCACCTTGAAAGCCTCCAACCGTATCACAATGTCAAACTGAAGACAGCAGGGCAGCAATCACTGGTTTCCTTTCCTAAGTTAGAGTTGGTACCTTGTAAAGTGTAAAGGTAAAGTGTTTGAGGCAATTAAAAAAAAGTTTGTGAAATTACTGTGAAGGTGTTTTTATTGCTCTGGTGTTGATCACTTGTATTGAAAATGAGGCTCCTTTGTTGTGCTTCCTGCTCTTTTCAGATCACTGTGCTTCTGTCATTCTCTTTCTTCTGTCATGCTATCTCCTGAAGTGCTTTTTTTATTAATAACTTAATTTCTTACTTTTCTTCATGCTCTTGCCAGCATTTGAGAATTGTTAAGTTGTGGATGAATAGGACATAAATCAAGGCCTTAATTTGTAATTGGTTGCCTGTGTACAGCATGTTTAATTTTTATGAAGAGAAAAAGTAAGCTATAAGTCAAAGCCTAAGCTGTTGTTTTACACTTTTCTGTAACAGAACCTTTGCAAGAGATTTGGTTTAGTATTCAAAATTCTAATGGAAATTCTCCCCTAAACAGTAACTATTTAAAAATAACGTATTGCTTTGATTCTGTTACGTACATTCAGTCATGTATACTTCCTCTAGTGTCAGTCTTCTCTGTGACAGCATGACTGAGGAAGATGGATTCTACTCCTCCTCATATGAAACAACAGAATTGCTTGCAATCTACCCAAATTTTATCTGTGCAGTGTAGCTGATGATTACGTTGCTGGGGAAAAAACACACCTTAGTTTAGTCTGAAGAAACTTCAAATGAATTTCCTTACAGATTCAGATCAGTGTGCCTGTGAGAAATCTGGCTCATCTCGGCAGCTGGTGTCTGTTGGGCCTGTTAGCAGCCATGTTGACTCTTGTTCTCTCCCTCTTCAGCCCTTCTTTGGGAAGAGGAGGGAAAAGGGAATTCAACTGTTCTTTGGTGTCTGCCTGCTCTGTACAGCATGAATTTTTTGATGTAGGATAGTACTAGTTGGGCACTCAGACCTGTAGGCCAACTGTGTTGCTGCTCCCTCCCCTGCCATAAATGACAGGTCAAAGGATATTGTTGCTTTGGGACTTCTGGTGCTATAACTAAAAATAGAGTTCCTAGGAATTAAAACTGCTTCTCTTGGGAGACTAGACTGCATGTCCTCCTTGATAGCAGCGCTGCAGGTCTTTTGCCCTGCCAAAAGACTTCTGTTGGACAGAAATGCTGTTGCTCATTCCCCAAGGAAAAACAACATAGTAGGCACTTCTTTCTAGAAAGTGAAGCAAGAAAAAGGATCCCCCATCAAGGGAAGGAGGGAAGAAAAGGAAATACCATGAAGTCTCAGTCTTGCTCTTATTTTCAGTCACAGTTCACTGTGGCAGTACATTAAGCTCTGAGCTCACTCTCAGTACAAAGGCTGAACCTGTGGAATACTGAATCTGGTAGAGCAGTGGAAAATGCCTTGGTTAGAATGTAAATGAAGATTGCTGTCTTTGGTGTGTAAAAGAGCAAGACAAAAAATTCACAGTTAAAAGACAGTTCAGTTAGAAATCAGGTCCAAACATTAGAATGCCATCCCTGGTCTTTGTGCTTCAGTTTCTCGTGTGAATGTCTGATGTGTGAGCTGATTCAGGGATAGTTCTTCTGAGCCCAAACTGTAGGAATCCAATGAGGATTATGACTGTCAGTATACCACAGTGGATCTTCATCAGATCTTTCTCTTGAAAGTGTGTGATCATCTTTAATTTATTTCTTGTATGGGCACTGTAGGCCTGTGCAGGAGGGCAAGGTGATCATTTGCAACAGTCCAGGGCATGGTAGTGGATAAGAGCACTGGTAAGGGGAAGATCAGGTGATCCTTTAATATTAATCTTTGTCTTATCTGGTCACGAGGTTGTCCTTTTTATTCTACCAAGGCTGTTGCCTGTACACTGCATTTCAGAGAGCCGGACTGGGAGAGCAAGGACAGTTCTTGAGATTACTGGATATTATGCATTCCTGTGTGTTTGCTAGTAGTGGTTAGTCAGGACTAGTTTTGAATCTGCTGTGCAAGTCTATAAAATACTTAATTTTCCTCTTTAGGCATTTAAATATGTGTGTGCTTTCAGTTTTGTTTATGTGCTTTCAGTTTCAAGTTGAATACTGGTAGCCAGTGAGTGTGAATGAGTGATCGATCTCCAAATACAGCACAAAGGATGAGCCTTTTCCTCTGTGTCAAAAAACCCCAACCCACCAGACAACAACCAAACCCAACAAAAACCTAAAAATGAAACAAAAAAGCCAGTCAAACAAACAGATAAAAAAACCCAAAGCATCAAAGCAGATTTCCAGAAGAACCTTGGTGAGACAGTGGTGCAGGTTCCCCAGAGAAGCTGTGGATGCCCAGTAACTGGCAGTGTTCAAGGCCAGGTTGGAGGGGGCTTGGAGCAACCTGCTGTAGTGGAAGGTGTCCCTGCCCATGGCAGGGGGGTTGGAACTATATGATATTTAAAGTCCCTTCCAACTCAAACCAGTTTATGACTATAAGAATTCCCAGAGAAACTTGGCCTGGAATGCAATGAAAAGTGAAAACATACTGTCAGATGGATAGTGACCATCTTGAATGTTTCTGTAGGTTTTCTCAGATTAATTTGACACAGCAATAGCTTCAGAGCCTCGTTTGCTAAAATGCATGATGTTTCACATCTAAGGCCTTCTAAATTGTTATGCAGGCCCTAACAGTAATCAAAAGATAGACTTCTGAATCCATGCAGAGGAGGACCTCTTCACTGTGCATTGCACCAATTCCTGTAGGGGAACAGTCTGGATTATCACTAGAAGCCCTCAACTGCTGTTTCTCCAACAGAAGAATTTAGAAGGAAATACATCCCAACCCAGAAGGCTCACCTCTGCCAGCAAGTTCAACACCATTGTCTGTCTGTTAGTGTTTCCTTTTGGGAAGTCCTGTTTGTCTTCAAATGGTTTACTTTCAGTTATGGAGCATTAGAAATCTATCAAGGGGTATCAGCTTCTGATTCTTTTTGAATCGTTTCCATGGTGTGCAGGAGGAAAAACAAGAATAAGGTTCTCTTTTGCAGCTTGGAAGTCATAGAGGGAGTGTACACTTCTTAACATCTTTGGGAAGAAACTGTTGGGATACTCTGCCATCCAGTTCTAGGCTTGAATTATTTGATGACATCAGCAGCAGTTTCAACTACTTCAAGCTCACTCTGGTAATACTGCTCAAGTTGGTGCCTTCATGCCTCAAAATTGGGGAAGTTTCTTCATCTTCTTGTCTCTTCTTATAATCTGTTTCATTATGAGACAAAAAATATTAATAAAGGAGGCTGTTGCTATTAATACAGATTTTTCTCATTATTTTCTCATTGCATAGGGAGTATTGTCAGGCATCTAGTGATCTGCTACAGCCCACCTTGCCTGTGAGTATACTTGGATGACAGTGCTAATCTAGGTGAAATTCTTCTCAGAGAGACCATTCCACTGACTTATGTGATCTCATCGTGATTCACAAAGAGCCTTAAGCACTTGAAAAAACATAATAGGAGAGCTGTTAGATATAAGTTCAGTGTTTTATACCTGTAAAGATTCTAGACCGCTGTGCACTCCATTTGTTTGCTGCCTTAATCAGAGTATGGCTGATACCCCATTCTTACTTGCTAGGCATCTTGCCAAACTGTCAAGATGCTGTTGATTGATATTTCCATGCTCTGTGGAAGCACATCTGGATTATCTTCTGCAGAAGCTAAAAGAGAGTGAAAATGGAAATCTTTCCACATGCCTTTAAAGGGGCGTTTGCATTACTATGT